GCAAATAAAATAAATTAAAAAAAAACAAACAGTAAAAAAATTAAAAACTAGCAATATTAAAATATAAAATGCAATAAAAGTTTAAACGATTTGGAAGGCGTCAGGAAATAATGTTAATGGAGAATTAAATCAGAATCTAAGATGAAATAAAGAAAATTGTTCTTCATGTTTTGCCAGGCAGACAGGAGGCGTTACTGATTGAGGCGCTGATCCAGCTCCTTCTTGACCTGCTGAACCCAATGAGAGCTGGGATCGGCACATAGTTCTTTGCCATTTGTGGTATAAAGTCTGAAAATTCAAAAATAAAACAATGCATCTACCTGTTGGATTTCTTCTCCATACATTTCTTTCCTGAACTAAAAATCAGTTCTGTCATACACATTTTGCATGCAACAACCTTTAAACTACAAAGCAGTAATAGTTCAAAACAATATTTACATAATTCCAGGTTTATTACAGTCCCTTCTGGTCTCTTCATATCCAGCTATCAGGTCTATGCTTAGTTTTCCAGGAAAGTATTTAAAACAGCACTCCTCTGTTCCATCGCCATCTGGAGAGATATGAAGAAGAAAAAAGGTATGTACGGTACAAGCTACATACAAAATATATACAGCCACTCTGAATACATATATGAAAAATGCACATAAAAAGGCTGAGAACTCTATTCATATCTCACAATTGCATCCATCATCTTTATAAATCATTTAAATAAAATACTGACAAAGTCCTGATAAAAGCTATGAGATGCTGCAGACTTACCTTGAGCCAGAGTGGAGGACAGCAGCACTGTCATCAGGAGGAAGAAGGCAGAGATCTGATGGGGCTTCATGATTCCACTGGACGTTTGTGAAGATCAGTGTCACTTCTACAGCTAAACTGGGGCCAGCAGAGTCTAACCACAACCTTTTAGAGGAGTTGTGTGACTCGAGGTGTAATGGGTGGGGTTGATGAAAGATTAAATATAATACAGAATCATTGTCAGTTTCACAATGATATGTTGTGCAGTACCAGTCTTTTCCCAAGCATCTTGCAATTATTTTGGTATGGGCCACAGGACGGTGCACTGCACTTACTGAGTGTTAAATGCCAAGTGATCACAGATGCGCATTAATCCCGGATGGTGAAGTACACCGGATTCGCTTCGGTCGATAGGGCAATCCGCGGATCTGCTATGTAGGACTTGGTTTAGAAGGTGGGAAATCCCTACAACGTAATACAATGTCAGCCTTGACAACCGTTTGGACCCGGCAACCTATAACTCCTCAGAGGCTCAGCCGACACTTGCCATATCTGAGCTTGTGAGTGCGTCA